TAATAACTTATCCAGTAGTTATGTCTATTCTAGTGATATTTGCAAAAGAGTCTAGACAAGTATTTGTCATCCTTCTGCCGAGAGCTTTCTGCTGCGACAGCTCTTGTATACTCTTTTTTATCACAATTTCGCTCTAAAAAGCTTGCTCATATAATTTGTGCAGCAGTTGCAGAATCATCAGAATAGGTTTTTCATTTTCCAGACGGCCCGTGCTCATTGTATTGGCAGAACGGAAACACAACTCCTGCTGTTTCTACAAGAATACGATTAAACATTTATGAACATGGGACTGGATATCCACAAAAAAGGTCCTGCAGCTGGAAAGCAACTATTCATGAATAATATGCACTTTTCACCTGGATAGATGTCGTATAAGCAACCGACTAAGGTTAGAATGTTCAATGAACATTTCTAACCATAATAGGCGCAGTGCGTTCTTGACATCATTGTGCCCGAAGCTTCTAATTCTCCTACTCTGCATTTCCCAGCATTCCTTCAAAGTGTTCGCCTTTACATGTGCAGATGTCAGAGCTCTCTTGTGGAACAAATAGCATAAAGAGATGCTTTTTGCCGTTCGTTGTCTCCGGACAGCTCGGTTCGAGTTTTTACACAAATCTTAGCTGGTAGAGCTCGATAACATTTGCTGTTAGCTCTGACAGCCATTACAATTGTCCGGTGTGCAGCGTCTCATTGAATTCAAAGGTACAGGTTTAACGAGGCTACCACGACAAAGGGAGTATTTGGACGAGATTTCAATCTTTGCAGGGCAACGTGTGATCGCTTTTGGTGGGTGTCAGATGACGCTGTGCCCAACAAGCGTGCTCCATTCCAAATGAAATCAGCACCTCTACAGAATCGCTGAACACGCCCTTACTTTGCCTCATCCCTTTTAGACAGCTTTTTGACTAGAGAAGCTTCAAGTGGTCTTCGTTCTCCTACTGAGAAGATATCCTAGAGATTCTCTACAGTCGTTCTCACTTGCTTTGAAGCTCTGTAACTATTCTGAGAACCGTTGACGATAGTTTTGACACAGTGGGAGCTTCGACGATTCTCACTCTGTGTGTACCTAGGAGACATTTGTATTTGATTGCAGGAGAAACAATGGGAGGAGGTTCGTACTCTCTAAGAACGCAATGTCTTCTAAGAAGTTCTCACTCAATGACAACATTAAATGCCATTTGTGAGTGAGAAACTACTTTTTGCTATTTAGATTGAGAAAACTCGAAATCAGTTTGATGTTTCAGTGAAGGAGGGGTCGGTAGTTTACTTCTAAATGGCTATTGTCTACCTGCATGTTCACATCTACCATATAGGTAACTCATGGACCAGATAACATTTATTGAGTTCGTACCAGACAGATAAATTAATCGGTTTAAATGAATGTGATTATTTTGATCCAGCGAAATCAATTCCACCTCATTTCACACTTCAAATGAGCGCTGGCTCTAACATATACCGCAGGTATGTGGGCAATCATGGAGGTCATCATCATTCCATTGTCCGCGATCGCAGCCACCACTCTCCCTTACTATCCAACAGTAATTTGGATCTTTATCTATGCAGTCCTGAAATCCTTTTGTGTCATTTGGGGAATAGAATTGCCGTACATTTTACAATGAGGGCATTATGACCGACTCACGCCGACTTGAGCGCTGACGAATCCATCGTGAAAGTTAAAGCTGAGAATCAGAGAGAGGCAAATGAAGTAGTAATACATCATTGTTGGTTGTTGACTACTGTCACCGTTAGCTTGCTTATAAACAGTCCACAATGTGTACTCCTGAAGTGCATGCGGATGAATCCAGGTACTACACCTCATTTAGTATATGCAAATCTGGTATTTCGGCAGCTAGGTCAAACTTTTGTACTTTTTTTTCACGTGGAAATGGAAACTGAAAATAGTGCTTCAAATTGCCTGACTAGCAACTTTACCTGGCCAACTTATGGTAAAAGGTGAAAATATCACATTGCTAATCAATATTGCAAAATATTGAAAGGAAAACTATGAAGCTAATAGCGATATGATATGATATGATATGATATGATAGCGGATTTCGTCCGCTCAGGCGGTGGAACCCTGGCCTCTGAATAAGACGATTGCGTCGAAAAGTTAGACCGTTGATTAAATAAATTCTTCCACCTATCAACCTCATACGGCACAAGATTATTTCAATCATAAATGAAGCTGATCCTACGAGAAGCCTTATATGCATCTACAAAATCACACTCGTATGTAGTGCAAGGTTCTTCGATTTCTGTGCTGTAAATCCCTGGTATCAAATTGCTCAGAATTCTTCGTTGAGTTCTGATCTCACTCTCAGATCGGTGAGATATGGCAAAAAATCTGTCGGTGTCTATAACCTAATTCGAAAAATCTCCATTTTTATGGAGATGTCTCACCTATCCGTTTCATGTTGGAAAAGTTGTCAGTACTTCTTATTCTGAACATCCAGTCCGTCTCAAGTGAGGGAAACATTTTGGGTTTTCCCATATGAATACCACCTCATTAGGGATAATTCGTTCTCGTAGTTTCGACGTTCCCTTTGAATTGAATGAATGAATGATGATGATGATGATGAAATGATTGAATGAATTCGCAAGTTCCCTTAAAAAGGATCTCTCACACTAACAAAGATGCACTCGAAGGGATTTTATCGGAAAAGCAGGAATTTTGCTGATACCTTTCTGTTTTCATCCATAAACTAAGCTTTACCTTTATCTCTTCCTGTTCTTATCGGTTGGAGTTCGTGTAGCGACAACTGGCGCACTATCACACATGCGTCGTCCGAGGTTCAAGTCCCTCCCCGATTATCACCCGGGTTAATCAGCCTTTCCTTCCCTCCAGGATCGGCTAATGGTTAACAGCACCGTTTGGGAAGATAAAATGACTGACTTGTACATCGGCTGGATTGTGTAGGTCACTTACGCACTGAAAATCGCCACTACGATTCTGGACAGATGACGAATGCGAGCGTATCGCCGAAATGGACTTAATCAAGCCAAAAACTTTATTCTTTGCCCTTTATGCCCTTACTGTACGCTACCATGCCACCTTACATACCCTTACAAAAATAAATAGGAAATTTCGATTGATCCATTTACATAAAGGGAGCATAAGCGTAGTAAACAATACTATGCAAACACTTGTTTATTTCTTGCGAGAAAAACGGCGGTTTTGCTATAACGATAAGCCAGCTAGTAGGTTTTTCTGGTTGTACGAGCTTTGTCGTTCACATTCGAATCTCAAAGAATTAACGGTCCAAAGAACCGATCTGCCTTTCGATAATGGCACATGGTTGTGTATATTAAATGAACCATGTGAATGTCCTTTCAAGAACTTGTGAACTAACGGTTCAAAGAACTTCGATCATGTTACATGGTTGTGTATAATGAGTGATGAAGAATTTTTTGAAATTAAACCATCCTTTCGAAGTACTTGTTTTGACTTTCAATAAGTAGGTTAGCAGGTAATTTTGGGTACACTTGTTTAACTTTTAACGCTATCATTACTTCTAAAGGTACAGTTCATAGCGAATATGACTTCCGAATATTTCCCCAGGATAAATTTGTGGACCCAAGGATAGCAGATGGACCGTTGTCGGGTAGAAAACTGCATATGAGGCGCTAAAATAGGACTCGAAGTTCGTCCCCACTGTATACCACCCAGAAGTGGCCGTTGGTTTGTTTTAACGGATTTGTACAGGCTTCACCATTCACAGTAGAGCTCACACGTTGTGTTTCCCAAGTAGAGCTTAGCCGTTAACAAGGGGAAACCGAAACGACTGATTGTCCCACGTCTTGACCCATGACGGCAGGGAGGAGCAATTCCTGACATCATTCGCTTCTGGTGGCCTACTTTTTACCAATCGCACACTGAAATCTTCCAAATGTCTACTTCAACTGTTCTTACTGGTTTTATGGTTCTCGAGTTCCACGAGTTTTGTGCAATTTTAAAGCACGCGATTCCTCATCTAAGGAAAGCTTTAACAGTAATCCCGAGTCAGTCGAAAACGAAAATAAGAATTCCCCTGACAACCCCCGTCCTACCTCTGTTTTCTTCGTTTCTCTTTTTCACAGCATGATTTTGGCCTTCAGCCTTGGGCTCTGCCTCAAGGCTCTCTCCTATTTCTTCTTTCAGGGCTTTTTCTTCAGGTTTTTGTTGACAGGAATTGCCTCAGAGTCCTGCTTTTGTATTGTACGGCACACCTTTGCGTGTATTGAAATAAATAATAAATAAACAATGAAAAATTAAGTCTTCTATTTATTCACCATGCTTTGTAATTTGACCTGAATATTCATTAAAAAAGGAGAATCATTGATACCATTCAACAAGAATAAATAATTCGTTTGGCAATATGAAGGTTCAACAATTAAATAACAACAACAAAAGAGTGATCAACAACAACAAACAACAGTTACATGGTTTCATAACATCTACTGTTTCATCCATTATCTACACGGATTTCAGGCATCACACAAGGTAGCTTGAAATACCTCCTCATCCTGAACTAACTATGATACATCGAGTTGCAACTCAGCAAAGCGGTGACAGGCTGGTATGCGCATACGCCCGCAAACGTCTTATTCCAATACATTTCAGTTTGAAATCGTGCAAGAACACTAACAACTACTCTAAATGGGGAAATTCGAAGTTCGCTGAAAGTAGCCAATGCAACAATTGCGCAAAGAGGTGTCGAAGGAACCCTCGGTGAACAACGGTGAACGCAAAAATATAACCTCATCAACCAAATCCAGAATTGAATTCAGTGTTGCACCAGCCGTGTATTCGCCTTTGTTTCCAAAAACCGGTCAAGATCAGGGACATAACCGGCAAATACCAAGCGCTATAGAATGAAGGAGTCGCAGTATACTGTGGACGAATCCATTCTAGCCTTTGTTCATAATAAACAAGCACTGAAAAACTTCAAATGCTCAACCCACTTCGTGCTTCAAAGACATTGATGAATCAACAGATCAAACGTGCAAAAGTATGTGACCTGTTACGAGTGGAAATGAATCCCTGCCTTATTGAAGGCAAGCAGAAGAGCGAGGAACTGTTCAATGGACATCGAACGTGCGCGTTTTTCAGCAAAGCCAGCCTCCACTAGTGTGTCTTCAATAAGTTTCTTGACACTGAAGTCTTTTGGTATTGGCTGGAAGGTTTCGTAGATTAAAAACAATACTGAATAGATGAAAAAAACCAAAGATTTTGCTCTAACCCACAAAAATGATCCGGCAGGTTTTTTTATATATCAAGGAACTCATGAGTGAGATACAAAAAACACCTTCCTAAACTATCATAAAGGTCCTAATAGATCGAAAGGAGAGGGCAAGGGAAGGCTTGATGATGTGAGGGAACAAGAACACGGTGCCCGGATAGCACGGATAGCACAAGGACAAGTCCAAGTCCTATAATTTCGATCGCAGACTGCGACGAAATGACAGCTGTTAACAAAACAACAAGTCAAAAATTACCTTGTTCAGTAGACTGCACAGTTTCTGGTGATTCTTCTCTATCAGTTCTGTTACGTTGTTCAACTTAAATATGGAGAGCAACTTCTTGTTTTTCCTGAGAAAGCACAGGCGAAGCATGCCTTCCCACTCCTAAAAATAACAACCCTCAATAAATTGTATTTGAGTTAAACATGCAAACCTTCGCCAAAGCACTTACATCGAAATTTATTGGGGGAGGTGGATTCTTTGGTGCGATTCGAATTACTGCTGAGTCCACTTTTGGTGGAGGACGGAATTCCGTTCTTTTGATTTTCATTAGGTGCTCCACCTGAAGACATAAGTGTTGGGAAACATAAAACATAAGGAATCAGCATTACTGTACTCAAAATGTATGCATACAAACCCTCGCAAGAAGCTGAACGTTCACAGACAATCGACAGTAGTCCTTATCACCAGGCTTTGCTATTAACCGATCAGCGAATTCTTTTTGGAACATTAGCACAGCATACCTACAAAACATTTCAGAATATCTAAATTAAGTATAAAAAAGCAAAGGCATTGGTGGAGCGTAAAAAGAAATTAGTAGCAAAATAGAATGAAATTAGAGTAGGATTCATGGCGTATGAGGACACAACCAAAATTAATTTTCCACTTTCCTCAGAAAGACTTCATTAGCTGATTCATTGCGGGTCGCTATTCCAAAATGTGGAAAAGTACGAAAACAAAAAAAAACACTCTGATTAGTCTTCTCATAATGTACTGCAAGTTTACAGCTTGTGAGACTAAAAACGTACCTTGGAAGAGGGCGTTGAAGAAGCAGTTTGAACACAAAGGGAGACGAGATCTGATATGGCAGATTTGCGACACAAACATCAAAAAATGGCCATTCAGCCTTCATAACATCACCATGTCGAACTTCTAACTTATTTTGCAAAGGG